CTTGGCAGAGCGGCTGTGGCTTTGGCTCTCTCAGGCCAGGCACCCCTTCTGTAGCTTTCAGGGCCAGCATTTTTTCTCTCATCTTGTTTCTCTCTTTCTCTGCTACTTAAATTTTTCTGGTTAAGATTCCTCCTCTCTTCTCTTACAAGCCTCCAACTTTCACCTCCCTACAGTCCTATTAGAGAAGCCCCTATTGTTTTTGTTTTCCTGATGATACAATTCTTTTTTCATGGTTCGCCCCTCTTAGCTGCCTCCCCCTCCCTGTGGGTAGTCTCAGAGCCTCTCTTCCCTCTGTTTTCCCTTCAGGTCCCTAAAGCTTCTGCCTTTCTCCTCCAGCTGCCCATGGTCTGTTTTTCTGTGCACCTCTCAACCTCTCTATTTCTCCCTCTCTGCCTTTTATCTTCCTAGCCCCTCTCTTTGGTTGCTCTCTTGGCCTTTCTTTGTTGCTACTGCAGTAATTCATGATGAGCATCCAGTAACACCATCACCTATTGACTGGACTTCTTTAAGTTAGCACAAAAGCAAGAGATTTCTCAGGGAGGCAGGATCCAGGACCCTAGAAGGAAGATAGACAGGACCCAGATGGAACTGTATTGTAATTCCATCATCCATCAATCATCATTCATTCATCATCCATCTATCCACTCATCGACCCATCCATCCCTTCATCCAAACCTTCATTTAATCATTCATTCAATGAACATTTGTTGATGTGTGCTACGGACTGGGCTAGGCACTTGAGAGAAAATGGAGATCCAGTATAGACATGAGCCTTGATTTCAGTAAAGGCTAAGGAGAGGTATAGAGTTACCAAGAGACCATCTCATCAGGATAGGAGCTACTTAGGAATAGGAATTAGGCTGAGGGGAGAACATGCAGGCAGTGTACATGACTTCTGAGAAAGGCTGCCACTCCTCATCCCTCCCAAATCCTCTCCCATTGGCAGACCAGAGGCTCTAGTTCTTCTAGCAGAAGTCAGTGCCGCTGGGCATTGACTTCAAGTGAAACACATCCTGTGACCTGGAAACAGTGACTTGGTCTAAGTGGTAAATAAAAGTCATTAGTCCTTTCCTGGGAACAGCCTTTATGAGTGGGCAGAAGGCATTTGACACCTGAAGGTGGGAGCTTGTGGGAAGAAGTCACCTCTCGAATGTGGATGTGTCCCCAGGATGATGTACTTGCTCTGCACGGTGCTGGGGGTGGACTCTGAGGGTCTGAGGGAAGAGGCCGTGCCTCCTTGCCAGCCTGCTCTTCCAGGTGTCAGCTGGCAGGCCCCACAAGCTGCTCCTTCCCTCTCTGGAGCCTCAGTCCTTCCATAAACTTTGGAGACTGGGTAGTTCTCGAAGCCCCACGCCTCCCTCCTCCCTCTCCCTGGCATTGGTCACAAATTCTAAGCAGCCCTTGAGTTTCATGCCTTGATAGCCTGGTAATTGTTATTGGAACTCGCCTAGGATGGATTTACGGTAATGAATTCACCTAATAGCAAACCCGTCACAGGCCTCTTTGCAGACAGGATCTTTCCCAAGTGAAGATATTAGAAAACCATTCTGCAAAGGAAAAGCAATACTGACTGGTGACTTCAAGTTTAGGAAAAAACACCACTGTTTGAGTTTTTCTGTTGGCCTCTAACTTTAAACACTTCATTGGCCAGTTGCTAACCAATACAGTTTTGGGCCAAGATCCTGTTTATATTGGCACCAAATGTGTGTATCACAAGCAGTTTGTGTGTTTTGGGGCATATGTGTATGTGTGTGTGAATCTGTATATGTTACAAACTCCAAAACTTTTGAGTACAAGGTCTTGTGCTCTGCTTTTTGCAGATTGTTCTGTCTGTAGACTGAACTAGCAGGCAGAGCATCCGTGTGCATGAATGACTTGTTGTCAGTCGCCCTTCCCCATCACAGCCACCCTCTGGCTTGGCCTGGCCTGGCATGTAGCTCTCTGGCTTCCCTGGCCCCCTGTCCTACTGAGTAATGAATGAGTGAGATGGCCTCTGCCCAGTGAAAGGGGCTCCGGGGACAGTGGGTGCTTTTTGTGTCACCTCAGTCTGCAGGACCAGAAGGCAAATCATCAGGAATGCTTGGGATGAGGAGGAATTTGCTCCTAGCTTGAGCCAGGAAGGCTCCATGTTTCTGTGGCTTGGCATTAAGCAAACAGCTGCTTTTTTGTTCTCTCCTCAAATTATTTGTCCAAACAAAAGGCAACTGTCATGGGGAGAAAAGTACAATTTTTCCAGCGCTTGCCCCTCTGTGTGCCTCTTCTCACAGCCTGCTTTCTGACTGTGTGCATTTCCACAGTGCAGTGTCAAGTTTCCAGCTGACAGCAAGGCAGGGTCTGCCGCCCTGCAACATGAAAGCCTCTCTGAAGCCTTCTGACCCAGCGCAACATCAGAGCTAAAGGCCAATTTCCCAGGATGGCACCTTCCCTGTCCAAAATCCCCAAGGATTTCCTAAGTCTGTAAATCATGAACTGAGAAACATTCCCTTGGAGACTGAAAGTTTGGGAAATCCGTGAATCCTAGAGGAAAGAAGATGCTCCCTCAAACTCCCATTTCTTTAGAAAGTTTTGTAGTTGGTTCTTCTGCCTGGCAAAGAATTGTTATTTAATTGGGAGTCATCCTTTAGAAAAGACCTGGGTTATTAGTTTGCATATCTTTAGAATATGGTAAAATATGCTAAACAATGCAGCTAAATGATATAGAATTTAATCTTCCTCTGAGGCTTATTGGGATTAGGCCATGTCCTTATCTGCCCAGCACACTCATGACTTTTCTTTAAGACTTGGGGCAAATGTCATCTTTCTAGTGGGGACCTCCCCTGTCACCCGACCCAGAACTGCCCTCACCTACCCTGCAGAATTAGGGCAGCCTTGTCCAAGCTCCTATAACTCTCCTAGTACTGGCACGTCACAATGTTTACACTTTCTGTTCTGAAATAATTTCAGACTTATAGAAAAAATTGCAAGAAGAGGATAAAGATTTCCTATATACCAACATTTCTCAACCTTTTTCTCATTATTGCCCCCTTCCCCCCAACCCTTTCTAGATTTTTTTTCCTAATTACCTTCTGCCATGAAATTTTAATACCATAGATTTGCTGTAAATATGCTTGTGAACTCTCTGTATGTCTGAGCTTTACATCGAAAAAGAGTGAGTTTTGTTGCCCCCAAGAACAATTTCCATTCTTGTGAACACAGTATTGCCTCCTGGAGAATGTATGCTGTATATCCTTTACCTAGATTCCCCACATGCTAGTATTTTCTTGTATTTGCCTTATTGTTCTTTCTCTAAATATGTATTGTTGTTTAGTCGCTAAATTGTGTCCAGTTCTTTTGTGACCCCATGGGCTGTCCATGTGTCCAGGCAAGACTAGTGAAGTGGACTGCCATTTACTTTTCTGGGGGATCTTCCTGACCTAGGAATCGAAGCTGTGGGTTTGCATCTCCTGCATTGCAGGTGGGTTCTTTACTGCTGAGCCACTGGGGAAACCCCTAAATATGTGTGTATACACACACACACACACACACACACATATATATACATAGAAATATACACATTTATTTATATATATACACAGTATATATTTTTTCTGAATTGTTTAACAGTAAGTTGAAGACATGATGCCAAATAATTTAGAAAGTGTTCTTGTAAACAAAAACTTTGTCTTTGCATTTTAACAAAAAAAATTTTTTAACATTTCCATCTTTTCCATATTGCTGTAGGTTTCTCAGGGTCTACAACCTGTTTTTTACTATCTTTGGAGGCTGAGTACCAGGATAGGGCCTAGAATATAGAAGGAGCTACCATAAAATAATACGTTTCATTGGAATATAGCATATGCCGTGCATTTTGATATAATTTCCATATAATTTAATAGATATGATGAAATTGTTTCTCTTAGTATAAAATATATAATGTAAAATATCATATGCTGTACATAAAAATGCAAAACATTTTTATTTATAAATGAATGGAAATCCCAGGGTCATCAGTATAAACTTAAATCACAAAGTAATCTATAGTTTCAGAAGCTAGAAGAAATTGGACTGAAAATTTTCAGACTTTGGAAGTTGCTTTAAAAATAGCAAATAGCAAACCAAGAAACTATTCACCTGATGTCAGTGTCATAGAAAATTACTTGGAGTTGTCTGAGCATGGCACTTGCCACCTGGTCTCAGCATTTGTGTTACTCTTTGGGAGACAGTGTAATACAGTAATTCAAACACTGTCCTGTCTTCTTGCATTCACTCATAAAGATTTATTGACAACCTTCCATTGACAAACAGATATCAGAGGATCCTGAATTTTCTTTTTCATTTTCTATGTACTGAAAAGTTGCCTAACCCATATTTGCCTTGATTTCTTTGACTGCAGCATGGATATCAATATATTGTGTCCTGGGGGTCTGCACATTGCTTAATGTGATATAGGATATGCTGGGGACTGATTTTTCATGGATTTTAGAATGAAAAATTTAGAACAAAATTCCAGGGACTAAGATGACTCAAATAAGACTTATTCCAAGAATTTGGCATCATAGGTGTGAATACACTTGGTATGAATAGATAGCCATCCCACAAAATATGTAGCTGATGTACAAAACATGTAAAATATTTATGTTAGGTTAATTTATTTTAAAATAAATTATTTTGTTGAATTAAACTTTACCAATGAAACATTGACAACCCTAAGCATAAATGAGAAAAAAAAGTATTTGCTGTTGTGACCACTATTTAAAGATTTTTCTTGACTTTCTTGAAGATTGCCAAACCCTTCTGTTTCCTTTTGTTTCGTCCAAGTCTATGCAGTCTGCTCACCAGATTACCCCAAATATCATCTGAGAGTCCTGAACTTGGGGGGGAAAGCTTGGGCTGGGGGAGCTGAGAATAAGCTGTGATGTTCAATGGTTAGAGAGTAAGACTATATCAAAAGCTAATTTTGTTGAAATCACAGTATTCACAATTGATGTTTCCATACTTTGTGCCTTTCATTTCCTCCACAGCAAATGGATAAGAGAAGCTATTCACATCTTCCAAACTCTGAGACAAGACATCCTGGGACAAATCACTGTAAGGACTGCAGCCAGTTATGGCAGAAGGTCCCGTATCACTGAATCTGGAGCTGGAGGGGTCCAGGTGAGTAATATCTCATCCTGTAATGTTGTAGACAAAGTTAAGTCCCTGTGGATGGAGGTGACTTGGTTATGGTCACAGAACAAGTTACTGGCAGAACTAAGACTAAAGTCCAGGTTTAGCCCCAAGTCTTGGCACTAGGATACTTTCTTTTTTTTAAGTGCCCTCCTTGGAAAATTTAAAGGTTAGTAGATGAGAATATGTTTTGTTTCCACTTCTTCAAAAGAAACATTCTGAATAAATTTAAATATCTTATGCACCATTACTTGAGATGATCAAAGGGTCCGATTAGATATCATACTAAACTCATGAGACTAAGAAACAGAATCAGTATTCTCATCCATTTTTAATTTCCCCATTTTGCAGATGAGAAAAATAGGGTCTAGTTGCACTATTTTTGGCACTTTGAACTTTCCTTGCAGATCTAGCAGAGTTTGGATGAGACTTTTTATCCTAACTCAGTTATCTGTGGCGTTTCTACTAGATTTCACTCTTCCTTAGTGGTGAGGCTAGGTATTTTGGACAACTGAAGTTTGAGTTCACTTCTTTCTCATGTTTCCTTGTGAGTATCTTTTCTTTAAGCCTCAAGGTAACCTATTAGGGTGTATATTGGAACTCTTTTCTTCCCCATGACTAGGCTTTTCCCTCTCTTACTAATAGTGTGCTGCATGCACTAGACTGCCCTGTCTTTTGAAACATATCCATCCTCTGTCTGACTCCCTTACAGTCCCATTCGTCTGCTATTGGGCACAGTGGGTCCTAATAGGTTTATCATAAAAGTAATCTATACCAATGAATAAAATAGGCAATGTGTTAGTCTATCCATATAGCTTGATGCCATAACTAATTAAATGTGTATATAGTATAAACAATTTCCTCCCTTGTGGTAAACTAAACTATTTTTGAAATTTTAAGTCCCTTTCTTTAGAAAATTATATTTGCAGCAAAAAGGATAAGATACAAAGTGACTGGTGAAAAACTGAGAATATTCTTACATTTTGCAGGAGACACCAGCAGTCATTTTGCTGGAGATACTGATCAGCCAGAGAATACGCGTCTGTGAACTGGGTAAATCCAGGGGCAGGACTGGAGGCAGGTTTACCTGAAGTAAGCAACAATGTCTGGTGGAATGAGGAGCCTAACGTTCTAGGTGACAATTTTTACATCCAATTCACTGGAAATATAGTTGAGTTTCTTGGTAGGAAAATTAATTTTTTTAGCACTAGGGCCTCTGAACCAGCAGAGTTCCAAGAATGAGAAGTAAACATTTAAAAAGTCCAGCATTGGGTGAAATACTAAGGGTTCCTTTCCTATTTCTGCACTTTGGTTGATGGAATTATGTTTTCCAATTGTGGAATAAACTCTATATATTGGTTCACAGGGTATGTCACATCCTATTGTTCAGTTGTGTCTGACTCTGTGACCCCATGGACTGCAGCAAGCCAGGCCTCCCTGTCCTTCACTGTGTTGCATTCTACAGAACTCAGTCCAAACTTGGAATATGGTATCTTCCATTTGCAGCTGAAACTGAGTGTCTAAGTCCCTTTTACCATTCTGTGAGACTGGCTACTTCTGGGTGTTGGGATACATAGTAACACAGTGGATGCCATCAGCTCAGTCTGTTGCCTCACTTTTTTTGGTTGAAAATTAAGCAAGACACAGAAAGAAAACCATTAAATAAAATGTGATCACTGAACTTCATCAAAGTTCAAAGCTTCTACTCTTTGAGAAGCTATTAAGAAAGTGAGGTAAGTCACAGATTAGGAGAAAGTATTCATATTTGTATATCTGACGAATGACTTGTTTACAAATATATAGAGGACTTTAACAACTCAATAAGAAAATCAATTAACAAGGGGCAAAATTTGAACAGAGACTTCACAAAAGATATAAAAATATCTAATAAACCCATCTCAACATCATTAGACATCAGGGAATGAAAATTAAAACTACAATTAAATAGTTCATCACAGCACTGTTTATAATAGCCAGGACATGGAAGCAACCTAGATGCCCATCAGCAGACAAATGGATAAGGAAGCTATGGTACATATATACACCATGGAATATTACTCAGCCATTAAAAAGAATTCATTTGAATCAGTTCTAATGAGATGGATAAAACTGGAGCCCATTATACAGAGTGAAGTAAGCCAGAAAGATAAAGACCAATACAGTATACTAATGCATATATATGGAATTTAAAAAGATGGTAATGATAACCCTATATGCAAAACAGAAAAAGAGACACAGATGTACAGAACAGACTTTTAGACTCTGTGGGAGAAGGCGAGGGTGGGATGTTTTGGGAGAACAGCATCAAAACATGTATATTATCAAGGGTGAAACAGATCACCAGCCCAGGTTGGATGCATGAGACAAGTGCTCAGGCCTGGTGCACTGGGAAGACCCAGAGGGATGGGATGGGAAGGGAGGTGGGAGGGGGGATTGGGATGGGGAACACGTGTAAATCCATGGCTGATTCATGTCAATGTATGGCAAAAACTACAGTATTGTAAAGTAATTAGCCTCCAACCAATAAAAATAAATGGAAAATAAAATAAAAATAAATAAATTAAATAGTGCTAAACTACACCTACTAGAATAGCTAAAATTTAAAACATTGACAGTACTAGATACTGGAGAGGATGGGCAGCAGCTGGAACTCTCCTATATTTTGATGAGATTGTAAGATGGTATTTTGAAAAATAGTTTATTGGTTTCTTTCAGATTTAAATATGCACTCACCATATGCCCTCAAAATTCTACTCCTTCAGTGTCTACCCAAGAGAAACAAAAATATATGTCCAAACAAATACTCTACAAGAATATTTATAACAGCTTTATTCATGAGAACTATAACCTGGAAACAACCCAAAAGTTTATTAATGGACAAAAAAATTGTGGTGTGTCCATACAACGTGTTATTTCTCATTAATAAAAAGGAGCAAATTGCTAATATTACTAATACATGTGACAGAATGGAGCAGTCTCAAAAATATTACACTGAATGAAAAAGATCCCAATACAAAAGAGTTAACACTGCCCGATTCCATTTATATAAGACTCCAGAAAAGATAAATCAAGTATATAATGACAGAATTAGTGGTTGCCTGGGGCTAGGTTCAGGGACTGGAGTAGGGATTGGTGTGAGGGGGCATAGGAAGCATTCTGGTTGGAAGAAAATGTTCCTTGTCTTGATTGTGCTATGGTTTCTCAGGCATAAAAATTATCAAAAGTCATTGAAATGTGCACTAAAATGGGCTTGTTTTATTGTATTGTACTTACTTCAGTACAATAAAACAGATGGAGAAGCTCTATATCATCAGCAAGAACAAGAGCTGGAGCTAACTGTGGCTCAGATCATCAGCTCCTTATTGAAAAATTTAGGTTTAAATTGAAGAAAGTAAGGAAAACCACTAGGCCATTCCGGTATGACTTTAATCAAATCCCTTATGATTATACAGTGGAGGTGACAAATAGATTTAGGGGATTAGATCTGGAAGATAGAGTGCCTGAAGAACTGTGAATGGAGGTTTGTAACATTATGGTACAGGAGGCAGTGATCAAAACCATTCCAAAGAGAAAGAAATGTAAGAAGGCAAGGTGGTAGTCTGAGGAGGCTTTACAAATAGCTGAAAAAAGAAGAGAAGTGAAAGTCAAGGGAGAAAGGGAAAGATATACTCATCTGAATGCAGAGTTCCAGAGAGTAGCAAGGAGAGATAAGGTCTTCTTAAATGAACAGTGTAAATTGAAGAAAACAGTAGAAATGGAAAGACTAGAGATCTCTTCAAGAAAATTAGAGATATCAAGGGAACATTTCATGAGAAGATGGGCACAATAAAGGACAGAAATGGTAAGGACATGACAGAGGCAGAAGAGATTAAGAAGAGGTGGCAAGAATACACAGGACTATACAAGAAATGTCTTAATCACCTTGATAACCATGATGGTGTGGTCCCTCACCTAGACCTAGACATCCTGGAGTGTGAAGTCAAGTGGGCCTGAAGAAGCATTACTATAAACAAAGCTACTGGAGGTGATGGAATTCCAGCTGAACTAATTAAAATCCTTAAAGACGATGCTGTTAAAGTGCTGCACTCAGTATTTTAGCAAATTTGGAAAACTCAGCAGTGGGTACAGGACTGGAAAAGGTCTGTTTTCATTCCAAATCCGAAGAACGGCAATGCCAAAGAATGCTCAAGCTACTGCACAATTGCATTCATTTCACATGCTAGTAAGGTTATGCTCAAAATCCTTCAAGCCAGGCTTTAGCAATACCTGAACCGAGAACTTCCAGATGTACAAGCTGGGTTTAGAAAAGGCAGAGGAACCAGAGATCAAATTGCCAACATTTGTTGGATCATAGAAAAGGCAAGAGAATTCCAGAAAAACATCTACTTTTCCTTCATTGACTATGCTAAAGCCTTTGACTGTGTGGATCACAACAGACTGTGGAAAATTCTTCAAGAGATGGAAATACCATACCACCTTACCTGTCTCCTGAGAAACCTGTATGCAAGTCAAGAAGCAACGGTTGAAACTGGACATGGAATAACCGACTGGTTCAAAATTGGGAAAGGAGTACAACAAGGCTGTATATTGTCACCCTGTTTATTTAACTTATATGCACAGTGCATCATGGAAAATCCAGGGCTGGATGAATCACAAACTGGAATCAAGATTGACTGAAGAAACATCAAAAAAACCTCTCAGATATGTAGATAATACCACTCTAATGGCAGAAAGTCTCTTGATGACGGTGAAAGAGAAGAGTGAAAAAGCTGGCTTAAAACTCAACATTAAAAAAACTAAGATGATGGCATCTGGTCCCATCACTTCATGGCAAATAGATGGGGAAAAAGTGGAAGCAGTCACAGATTTTATTTTCTTGGGCTCCAAAATCACTGCAAATGGTGAGTGCAGCCATGATTAAAAGACACTTGCTCCTTTGAAGGAAAGCTATGATAAACCTAGACAG